CCGGTTGCTGGCTTGAGACCCAGCCGGCCCACAGGAGAAGGAGGAGGAGGAGGAGGAGGAGGAGGAAGAGGAGGAGGAGGAGGAGGGAGGAGGGAGGAGGGAGGAGGGATGAGGGATGAGGGATGAGGGATGAGGGATGAGGGATGAGGGATGACGGATGAGGGATGAGGGATGATGATGAGGAGAAGGAGGAGGAGGAGGAGGAAGAGGAGGATGAGGAGGAGGAGGAGGATCAGTCATGCCATTCCAGTTTTTCTTGAACCTGATTTCTGTTGCAGTCCTTGGTGCGTCGAGGCGGCACGGATCCAGGGGCACACCAGAGCGGGGGCGCGTGGGCGCCCTGAAAACATTGATACCACCCGTGTGGTGCCAGGGCGAGGTAAGCAGGACAATCCGCGTTAGCGGTTATATAAGATGCAGCAACACTAGCACAAAACAGAGCGGCTTCCCTGCGAGGGGGGCTGGGAATCCAAAAAACAAAGGGCGGTGGTGGGGCTGTTGGACGGTGAAAGGAAAGGCTGCAAGCGAAAACCCTCACTCACTTCCTGAATCCCATGCTAAAGCAAAACCATCAGTCATGCCATTCCAGTTTTTCTTGAACCTGATTTGTGTTGCAGTCCTTGGTGCGTCGAGGCGGCACGGATCCAGGGGCACACCAGAGCGATGGCACGTCGGCGCCCTCAAAACATTGATACCACCCAAAATACGCAAAACTCGTTAGCGGTTCGAGGTGCTCCAGTTCAGTCTAGCTTTCGCCCAAGGCACCACCGAAATACAGGAACGGCAAGAGGCCCCAAGTACTCTAGCGAACCCATTGTCGATGAAGATTTTGGCCAGGCAGGACCCAAAGCGATAGGGATAGGCGGCCGCTCGCTTAGTCCAGCGGACCCCAAGAGGGTCCCCACCAGTCAACACGATGTGGGGCTGCTGTGAGTACTCACAGGGCCTAGTTCCATAGCTACCACACTTGAAAGTCATGTTCTCGATTCCTATCAGTCCAGCGCGCCACAGGGTCGTAGGTTTTTTCCATCTGGCCCCGAAACCACACATGTGAGTCGCGATGTTCTCGACGTCGAGGCCTCGACTGAGGCCTTGAAACTCAGGGGTGGACCAAATCAAGCTCGTTTGCGGGTTCTCGATGACCCGCGGTACCTTGCACTGAGAAGCGCAGGCGCAGAACTGGGCAGTCAGCTGCATGAGGCGGGTCCCCATCTCGAGCTGTCTTCGAACGCGGGGCTCAACATCTGGCAGCCCAAGGATGTGTTGTTTGGAGCGGATCATTGGCCTTCTCGCAATACTGTGCACGGGGGAGCGCAGAGCAGGCCGAGACAACGAGGGTGCGCAATCAACTTTCTGATGCGTCGTTGTACACTGACGCGCGTGACATCGCCCTGTGGGCCCTGCAAGGTGAAAGCATCGATCCCTCTGCGCTTTGCGGCTCGGCTGAAGCTGCCGCATCCGCTGAACACCTCAATCGCGAAGAAGCCTCTCCTGGCGGCACGCCTCGGTGTGCGCGGAGCTGCTGGCCGGCTCTGAGCATGGTTGCCTCGAGCTCGAGCGAGCACCTGGTGCACATCAGACGGCTGCGCTGGTCCAGCTTGTTGTAGACGTCCTGCACCAAGGCCCTCTTCTCGTACCTCCTGACCGACGCCATGCTCCTCCATCTTCCTCGACGTTGCACCTCGGCGAGGTCGAGGCGGTTGTGGAGCCGATCCAGGCTGGCACCAGAGTACCTTCCCATGTACAGGACGGGCTTCAGGTAGCTGATGCCAACCACGCCGCATACGGTGATGAAGCTCGCGTTCATCTGCTTCAGGCTGAAGTCCCACAAGGGCCCCGTGCTGGGGCGGGCGTCCACGTACATCATCAGTATGTCTGACAGCCAGGGGCGACTCACGATGAGGCTCTCGCCCACCGCCCCCACCTTGCTGGCCTGGCCGTGCTCGGCGGGGTGCAGCAGGATGGCCGCCAGCGCCATGTGCCGCTGCGACGTCGCCCTGAGCACCTGGGTGGTTCTGAGGTCCAGGCACTCTCCCGGCCGCATGTAGGTGTTCACCATCGGCAGCCAGGCCAGCGCCATGCCCAGTCCCTCCATGCGCAACAGGTTCACCGCGATCGCGGCCACCACCTCCCACGGCAGGGGTCGGCGGGTCCTCCTGGGCACCAAGCGGCGCCAACCCCGCAGTGACCGCGTCGCTCTGGGCAGGGTCATCATACCCTTGGCACTGTACACAGGTACCACGTACTGTATTGCTGCAATGAGATTCTCTCCTGTCGAAGGCGCCTTGCCCTCGAGAAAAAGCCGATCGAAGTAGCAGGCCACGTGAGCGTCCAGCTCCGCCGGGTGCAGGCTGAGGTCTACGACACTCTGCTTCGTCTGGAAATCCGAGAGCAGTCGCTTGTACTGACCTCGGGTCTTCCGCGTCAGCGAGGCCTCCTCGGTGATACCGGGGCCCTCTGTCGTGTCCCGCAGCCCCCCGTGGGTTGCCAGTCGCCTCGCGGCTCGCCTCTGCTGCAACTTCAGCTCTTCTCGCGCTCGGCCTCCTTGAGTTCCAGCAGGCCCAGGATCGGATGACCAGGAGCTCGGTGGTTGGCCCCGACCAAGCTCGACGCGTTCAGGCCGGTCTTCTGCCGCTTGCCCTCCTGCGTCTCGCTCGACCTGCAGGGCACCCTCGGCTGGCTTGTCGCCTGCTGGTTCTGATCTGACCTGCTCCTTGAGCGAAGATGATTTGGCCGCCAAGCTGGCGCTGACTGCGTTGCTCTTCGTAGATGGCTCTCGCTTGCGGGAGGGTCCATCGGCGGGATGAAGTTCGGAAGGTATCCATCGACGTACGAATCTGGACCGAGTGGCTAGAGCCCACGCTGCGGCCTTACGGTGAAGCATGAGAAGACGTGGATCTCGACACCTGCCCTTGGAGAGAGACAAGATGAGCCCAATATTATCTCCCAATATCAACCACGAGCGACCCCAATCTTTTGGATCCTGCACGGCCTGACGAATAGCTCCCAAGAAACCTCGCATCTCGGTGACATGTATCGGCTCATACGTGAAGACGGGTTGGAATCGCTCGACGGACCACGACGTAGCCTCTGCCACGTTCGCGGGCACCTCAGGGAACTCCCTATTAACGTAGACGTTGCTGAAATCGACCTCCTTATCTTCCCAGACTCCAGCCCCGAGCACCGAGACGTCCTTCAACGCGTTGGCGCGCGGGTTGAACCCTGCTGGGTCCTCGTCGTTCTCGAACCGCCATCTCTCATGCCACCTACCTACAGACTGCGCATCCCCCACCGCCCAAGCCCCCCTTACTGTAGCGTGCCCAGACTCACATGCATCATAAGCCAGGACCTCCTGGGACCATTTCGGATCCAGATCCCGAGAGGCAAAAATCAGAAGCCCTTGGATCGAGCGGAGTTCGTGGAAAACGCTTTCCCAAAGGATTCTGGGCCCCTTAAAATTCCCTCGAGCAAAGTCATAGCTAGCACGCAGACAACTGAGGAGCTCACGCTTTAGCAAGGCAACGAAAGTGAAATGGCCAATCAGCCGTTCGAACTGGCGGCTGCTCATCGGCGGCCGCCGACGATGGATCCACTCCAGCGCCTTCCAGAGCCTCCAATACCGCTTGGCCGCAACGGCCGCGCGGCAAGGCTGCCCCTGCTGCGCGACGCCCAACATCTCCATGCTCTCGGCTGCGTCCGACTCGTCATGGGTGGCGTAGCCCGCCGCCTGCAGCGCCCCACGCGCCACTCGGCGCAGCCGCGTCACCTCATCCCTGTCGTGGCCCTCGATCAGCACGTTGTCCACGTAGACCGTGTGCAGCGCGCCCTCCTCTGGCAGGGGCGGCGGGCGGAAGTCAATCGCCCGACGTCGCGGCCCCAGCTCAGGCACGCCATCGAGCACGCGTTCATGAATGCGCTGAACGATGTATAGGGCCCACTTCCAGCCCATGGGAACCACATTCATCAAAGGATAGAGCATAGTGTCACCAGCCAGGTACTGCCCATCCAACTGCGCGATGCCGACCTCGTTCGCCTTCACTGCGTCCAGTCCGAAGTAGGGCTGCAGCCAGGCTGGCATACGGTGCTGGTAGAACGCGTTCTGGACGTCTCCTCCTGCTTAAAAAATTGACGACCTTCTGGGGCCTCCACCTCGGCGAAGCTGCTGCCGGAGAAGAGGTGCACCTTGGGCGCGTCCACGAAGTGTTGGTTGCTGCGACGGCAGCCCACTACGATGCGGATCTTGCCGTCCTTCTTCTTGACGAAGAATAGCTTGATGGCCTCCTTCCGACGACGCGCCAGGCGGAAGATCCCGCGGGCGAGGCCGTCCTGGATGAAGCCAATGTAGGCGCTGCGGTCCTCCTTCAAAATGGTATCGCCATACAGTGTAGGCAGGCCCTCGCCCTGCCTCGCCTGCTGCACCTCGCGCGGCTGCCGCAGCCACACGTCGCGCTGGCCCTCTGTCAAGTGCTGGAGCATGTCCAGCGGCGCGTTGGTGGCCAGGGGCACGGGCGCGTTACCTTTGGCCGGCCAGCTGACCAAGTCGCGCGAGTAGGGCCGAACGGGGGAAGTCTCGTCACCATCAGTGTAGGACGAGGGCGTGCTCCCGAGAAGCTCGTCGAAGGCTTCCTTCGGAATAAACGAATTCCCCGGCACGGGGGCGTGGGCCGAGTGCAGCGCCCGCGCATCACTGTAGATCTCGGCGGAGGGGCCACTCAAGTCGGTGACGGACTCCACCTCGGGCGTCTCAAAACCTGCCAGGCGGTTGATCGCGCGAATGGTGTCGCACGCGGCCTCCTGGGCCTTCAATCGTCGACGAACTCTCTGCTCAGTGCCCCTCGACAATCGCTTGCTACCACTGTCGTACTGCTCTATCCGTGGGCAAGCGAGAGGGGGAAAACCATCCCCCTCTCCAACGGCGGCGTTCCGACGATGAATTGACCCCTTCTGCGCGCCGCTGCGGCCGGGGGCCTCCGCAGCGCTGCCTTCCCTCAGGGGCTTGCCTTGCCAGCGCCTGGCTTGCCTCCTTTGTTCTTCTTGGCGGCCTCCTCCTCCTCGCAAGCCTTCCGCCGCTGCTTCATCACCTCCGTCTCCTTGCTCTTCTTCTCCGTCGCGCACTGCGCCAGCGACGGGTTGAGCGCCACGCCGCGGCGCAGACCTCCTGTCCTGTCGCGGCCCAGGTAGCGTTCGATGCCCTCCAGCTGCAGCGTCCCGCTGGTCTCCTCCACCAGTTGGTGCAGCCGCGGCAGCACCTCCACGCTGGCCAGGTTGCCGCCGTCGCACTGGTCGTAGCACACCGACAAGTCCAGCGCCAACCCCACCAGGTCGTGCATCAAGAAGGCCGTGGAATCGGGCGAGATGCGCTGCTCCATGGCCCACTTCGTCTGCCGCGCGTCGAAGGTCCCGCCGTGGTCCCGCACATACTGGAAGAGCCACAGCGCGGACCTCTCGCCCTCGAGCGGGAAGTCATCCATCGGCGCCACCCGCATGCGAGAGACCGCCGCCGAGAACTCCGACCAGCGGCGTCCTCCTGGATCGTAGACCACCGGCGACAGCACGCGGGCGTCAGCTCCATCCCCAGCACCGCGCACCTCCTGATTGGCGGCCAGGCTGGAGGCGGGGCAGGCGGTGACGACCTGGCCGTCTGGGAGCCTGTGAAGCGCCCTCTCGCCCATCACCTTATCGCTGTCCGCCAGCTCTATCTCGTCACCGCGCTTGATGGAGCCTAGCGTCTCCATGGACACCCAGCGCGTCGAGCCCCTCGCGACCTCCCTGGCGTCATCCAGGGAGGGGGGCGTCGCGGTGCCGCCCACCTCCTCAGCCAAGATCCCCCGTCAATGGGGTCAGCAGCGGGCCGATCTCCAGACGGCCACCCAGCGGCGCTGTCCCCGATGGCCGGGGGCGGCTCCGTAGGCGGCGGCACCGGCAGGCCCTTACGGCGACGGCGCACCGCAGCCTCAGCAACGGGCAGCGGCTTGCGCTCCCCCAGGGAGTCCAGGTACAGCGTGTGCGCGGGCTTGTCGAAGCCCATCTCGACTGCCAGCTGACCTGCCTCCCGCAGGCGCGCCAACAGGTCCTCCTCCCCCAGGTACTCCTTGAAGCGGTAGGTGCGGCCCCGCAAGAAGACGGGCAGGGCCCCACTGTCATCCAGCACCACGGCGCGGCAAGGGCCGTCCTCAGGACTGGTGCAAGCGATGTTCTCGATGTACATGTCATGGTCGGGCGTGTCTATCACCCAGTGCTGGGCATCCACTTGGCCCAGCAGCAATCTCTCATGCCATACACTGTCGTCACTGTGATAGACGGCCACGTAGCCGCCTGGGAGGAGTTCACTCCAGAACGCCTCCTCCCCGATGGCGCGGCCGCTTGCCAGTCGGAGCGCTGCCAGCCCTCTCCACTGCGGCACGCGCAGGCTCGGCTCCTCCGCGCTTGCCGCTGTCCTCAGCGGCGGCCGGGCGCGCCTGCTCGCCATCGCGGCGACGGCGGACACAGCACTTGCCGACGCTCACCACCAGGATGTGGCCCAGGGCCGACCCCAGCACCTGCCAGGCGGGCTGCTGCGTCAGCTCGTGCCCCTCGGTCGCCTCCTCGCCAGCGCCCTCACACCGGCACTCGCAGGCCGGCGGCTCGGGGCAAGCCAGAGGCACCGGCGCACTCAGCCACTCGGGCGGCTGGGGGCACTGCTCCTCGCGGGCCGCGCCCGCTCCTGTGGCCGCGGCCGCGGCGATGGTGGCCGCCTCCGCGGCCTTGCGGGCGGCGCTCACCGCCGCCTCCACGCCGCCAGAGGCGCCCCAGCCAGCCTGGTGCAGGAAGGCATGGTAGAGCAGGTCCGCGTGGCGCAGCAACACGGCGCCCACGACGCCGGCGGCGGCGTGCTGCGGCCGCAGAGCCAGGGCCATGCAATCCCGCGGCACCGGCCTCCCCTCCCTGAGAGGAAAGGCTGCAAGCGAAAACCCTCACTCACTTCCTGAATCCCATGCTAAAGCAAACCCAGGAGGAGGAGGAGGAGGAGGAGGAGGAGGAGGAGGAGGAGGAGGAGGACTGGATCCCCAAGTCACCCAGCTTCGCACTCCGCGTCGCGCGCTGCGCGAAATGTGAGCAGATTCGTGCTCGCGCGCGGCCCCCTCATGGAGAAGGGCAGCTCCGCAGCCCAGGCCGCGACGCGCGAGGCCCGACCACACCACACTGCACTACACTGCACGACATACGACGCGCACTTACGACGCTATCTGACTCCTGCTCCTCCGACCATCCCTTCCACACTCGCCCGCACTCGTTCCCTGCCGCTCGAATGGGGAGCGCCGCGCCCCGGGGTGGGCCAAGAAATACTGCCACCTCTGCTGCCAGGGCCTCTCCCGGGGTGCGCCCCGACCAGCACGCCGATGCGAGCCCAGCGGTGGCGACGAAGACCTCCCAGGAGGCCACAGGAAGGGGAAGATGAGGGAAGGGTAGAGCGGGACCTGGGCCACAAAAACATCCCTCAAGAGCACGAGACCCTCCGCCGCCCAAAACACGCAGAACATCCAAGGGTGCCCTCCCCAGGATGCACAAGAACATCCAACAGGCACGAAGAACACTAAGGTACCCTCCCCGAACCGACCTCGATCCTATACCTCGGTCGAAGTGTAGCGGTATCTGCACAGTTTCCTCCTCCCCATTTGACAGCGCGCTCCGCGCTCATCTCAGCCACTCCGCGTGGGTCACAGGCCTCGCCTTGGGGTGGAAGAAATTCACGAAGAGCGTGACCCGCGGCCCGACGCCGCCGTGTTGCACGCTGTGCAAGAAGGAGTCGTCCAACAGCAGGAGCTCACCCTCCACGAACCGCCGAGACTCGTTGCCCGCGCGCATCTCTACCCCCTCGGGCACGAGAAGCCCGAGGTGCGCCACGTATCGCCAGTTGACGCTGCCGAAGTGCGGCACCAGCGTGGCACCAGCCTCGAGCTTCAGCAGGCTGACCTGTCCGCTGCGCTTGCCGTGCACGATGCCCTCCACGTCAATCAGGCCCCTGAGGATGCCGCAGACAGTGGGCAGGTGGCCGCACGCCTTTGCATCCCACTGGCCCTTGTCGAAGATCAGCATCTCCGTCCACTGTCGGGGCCTGTCCCCGGCGACCAGGTCGTTGTCCTGGTTCGGACTGAAATAGTCCATGCTGGAGGGCTCCTTCCAGAACTGCTCGAACTCCCGGACGATGGCGGCCTTGTGCCTCTCGAGCAGCTCTGGCACGCGCTGGCCCTGAGGAGCACGACGGCTTTTGGAAACGGCGGCAAAAAACGTCAAGAGGAGAGGGAGGGGCATGATGGGACACTGAGGCCCAGAAAGTCCGAACCTTACAATTCATAGGCTTCTCCTCTGGAGGTTCAAGCCTCCGTTCTGCAGAGCCTCCTCCCCTGGAGCAGAGGCATGTTCAGATAACTTCTGCAGGGTTGCCCCATCTGTTCTGGAAGCCACTTCCCCCTTCTAAAGCTTCTGGACTCTGAAGGCCATGGGCTCCGAAGCCATGGCCACTCTTTCCACCCTCTACCCACCCTACACGCTCGTGAATTACAAGCATGCGAGCCGCTGTGAAGCTGTACGCATGGGAGCCGCGGTGGGGTGGCTAGAGGTGCCGACACGACAAGAACCTGCCGTGATTATCGGGGGGCGCAAACATGGATTAGCGATCCATGGATTTGGCGCGCGGTCGCCAAATCCACGGATCGGGGGAGGTGCCCTCCCCAAAATGCGGCTGGCACCGCCTCTCTCGGCGGCGGAAATCTGCGATTTTCCTGTGGAAAGGGACCCACCACTAATCCACGCCCCCTCGATCCATGTGTGCGATCGCAGAGATTCGTTCCTGCTCCCAGCGAGGACCTCTGGGCGCGGGAACGGCTCCGCGCCCTCCAGCAGGCCCTCGTCGACCAGGTCGGGGCACTGCAGCGGCGAGCGCCACTGGATGCCTCGCGGACCCCGCCACGGGGAGGGAGGGTGGGACGGAGCGGAACTCCGTGGAGTTCACACCTGGCCATCGCTCGGACGTCCATTCCCTGTGCTTTTTTTCGGTTTCGTGCGTGTTTGTTTCGCCAAATGATCAACGATGCTCCTCGATGGTCCTCGCCGAAGGAAAAATGCACACGTCCGACCGATGCCAAGACACGGGGCGGCGCGAGTTGGGCGGCCTTCTGAAAAGGCTGGGGGATTCTCAGAGGGCAGAGGGCAGGGGGGCTTCCTGCAAAGGTCAGGGTACTCCTGAGAAGGCTTCTCGAAAGCCAGGGAAGTGCTCGAGAAGTGCCCCCGCAGGCCCCCTCGCCCTCTCAGAAGGCAGCCCCGCTCGCGCCACCCCCTGAGTGCGCGCTCCTCCTCCTCCTCCTTCTCCCTCCTTCTCCCTCCTCCTCCTCATCCTCCTCTTCTTCTTCTTCTTCTTCTTCTTCTTATTCTTCTTAGTATTGTTATTATTAGTCGTATTATTGATATTATTGTGCTTACTAGTACTATCACTATTATTAACAGAATTATGTATTATTAGTCTTCTTCTCTTTCGTCTTATTATTATTCTTCTTATTGTTATCATCTTATTAGTATTAGTATTATTGTTATGTTTAGTCTTCTTATTATTCTTATTACTATTATCCTTATTCGTCTTCTTCGTATATATTATTATTCTCCTTCTTATTATTATTCTTACCCCCCTCCTCCTCCTCCCCCCCTCCTCCCCTCCTCCTCCTCCTCCTCCTCCTCTCCTCCTCTCCTCCTCCTCCTCCTCCTCCCCTCCTCCTCCTCCTCCTCCTCCTCCTCCTCCTCCTCCTCCTCCTCCTCCTCCTCCTCCTCCTCCTCCTCCCCCTCCTCCTCCCTCCTCCTCCTCCTCCTCCTCCTCCTCCTCCTCTCCTCCTCCTCCTCCTCCCTCCTCCTCCTCCCCCCCCCCCCCGACCCCTGACCCCGTTCAGGGCCGGAGCGGGTGAGGCCGCGGCCTCGCACGGAGAGCAGTCGCAGAAAAAGCCAGGGTGGGCCCGGAGCTCGGTTCGGAGAGCCGGCGCCGGGTGGGCACATCGGAAGTGGGGCTTGCAACAACGAGCAACCCCAGCGTCAGGAGGCAAGAGGGATCAGGACGAGGCGTTAAAAAACACACACACACATACACACATACATACATGCATACACACACACGCGCGTTCTCTTCCGACGCGTCGACGGAATCAAGTCGACGGTAATCAGTAGGCGGGCATGGCGCTGACAAAATGACCCAAGATTTCTGAGGCAGCGAGGCAAAGACTGAATAATGACTGCACCGACCTTGCAGACGTGCTGCAGCGGACTTTTGGCGGATTTCTGTTAATGCAAAACCCCGAAAGGCGAGCGAAAAACGAAGTGAACTTCACGTGGATGTTTTAGTATTCACTTCTGACCCCCAAAAAATCCGCGCGAAATTTGCTTCGAAATCCGGAGCGAAATTCTCCAGGACAAGCTGGGCCCATCCCATTGTTTTCCGAACAGAATCCGCTCTGCGATGTTGGCGCCATGAGAACAATCGACATGGACACAGTATGGCCTTGTGGATGCCATGACAATGGACGCTCTAACAATCCGATCATTGAGTTAAACATGTGTTTCAAATGTGTAGGACATGGTCTAAACATGCTTCAAACATGTTTTACACATTCAAAACATGTTGGACACATGTTTTAGACATCTGGCAATTATTTGGCAGCATGCCTCCTCTCCATTAACCGACTTCCACAAGCACAGCCGACCGAAGGGCAAACGAACCCGGGCTGCTGCAGCGCAGAGCCGGAGACGCAGAGCAAGCAGGGCGAGAGAGCCTGCCGCCCGCGGCGGGGGCCGGCTGGAGCGACGAGGACAAGCGGCGCAGGAAACGACAGCCAGGCAGACGAGGGACGTCGGCAGAGCAGGGAGGCAGACAACTAAAACAAACAAGCGCACGCATATGCATGTATATATATATATGTACATATACATTTACATACATACATATATATACACATATACATGTATACATATATATATATATGTATATGCATATATATATATGGAAGCATACATTTAGACACATTTATTTATTCATTTATATATATATATATGTATAAGCATCCATCCGTCCATCCATCCATCCATCCATCCATACATACATACATACATACATACACGAATGTATACACACATACCTGCAGGAACGGTAAGCGCGCTAACGCGAGCTTCATCCCGCTCCACCGTTGCGGAGACCGGACGAATGACAGGCGAGGTCGATGAGACGGGACACGCGACAGAACAGTCAATACCCTTCCGGTTCCGTGGCCTCCCGAGCCGCAGGATACAAAGGTGCCAGCGACCGCGGTCACCCGCGGCCGGCCCGCAGCTCCGCGAACCGGGGTGCACGTCGGACAGGACAGCAAGGGTAACAGTTATCGGACTGGCCGCGCCGCCCACCGCGCAAAAAGGACAGCATTGGCGCGCCGCTCGCGGCCCCCTCCCTCTGGGGGGCGACCGCGCGACATCGCGCCAGCACGAAGCCACGCGGCGCGACACAGCACATGGGCCCAAGTGGGTCCTGCTGGGCCCGCTGGCTCGAGCCAGCCCAAAACAGGGCATGACCCAGCTGAGTCATGCTGTATTCCAGGGCTGGCCCTAAACGTGTTTTCTGTGTTGCTTCCGTTGTGTTTTTCGTTTTCGCCCGTTTACCTGTACCTCCCCGCCGAAACGAAAAACAATACCCAGCCAAAGTCCAGGAACACCGCGTTCAGGCCCAGCCGTGCCACATTCCTCCGCCACGCGGGCGCCTCCACCACAACTCCCAGGAGCCCGCCAAAGCGAAGCCAGCGTGCAGGGCGGCAGGGTGCCATTCTGCGCGCCCCGCAACCGCCGCCCGAATGCAACGACGAGCGAACTTGTAGGGCTGGGCAAATACAGGACACAATGAAATGGCCCTGGGACACACAAGTGAATACACACAAATAAAAAGATTCCCTATATTTTCCCATACTTTCTGGGTTTTTGTTTTCCCGCCCAGTTCCCATACTTTCCCATATTTTCTTGGGAATCGACGATGAATTGTGTCTGTGTGTTTTTTCCCCTCCCGACACAAGAATACCCTGCTGCGCGGCGGCGACCTCGAGTCAACGCGTCGGTACTTCACAAGCGGCGCGGCCGCGCTCGGGGGACGTCGCAGAATACATGCCCGAAATGACCCCCCAAAGCGGCGAGGACACATGGATGCCCTTGACCAGGGTCGCGACCTCCCCGCGGCGCGATGCGCCCAGAACAACGCCCGCGGAAATCATAGGACACAAGGGCGCCCCTGCCCCGGGAGTGCCGAAGACACGACGCGCGATGCACAGGACACAAGAATACCTCTGATTTGGCGGGGTCGATCCACTAATCCGGGCCGGCTGTATTTTTCTGACTGGGCGAATGCGCAGCCAGAGCTCTCAAGCACAAGCGTGCGCGAAGGGCTTGCAGCGCCGATCGATCGTGGCTTCGCCGATCCTGTCTCAAAACAACGATTCCAAAGAATTGCGCTGGCCCCTTGGGCCGTCATTGCCCCGCGAAGAATTCCCCATGTGTCCCTCAGACTCGTGGCTGGCGTTGCAAGCTTCTCTGTTTTCCATGTTGTTATCTCAGCGGCCGCTGCAACGGTCTTGTTCGGCACGCAACGCAAGAGGCCGGGCTCGCTCTTGAGGGCCACTGGGTCGCTTTAACGACGCGCGGCGCGCGCTGGGGCACGGTGCTCCTGACGCCCAGCAAATCCCCATTCCACTCGCATGTGAAAAGCCTGCGGGGAAACGCCTGCCAGACATTAGAAACGAGGGCCTGCCGAAAATATCTCGCGAGAGCTTCGCACAAAGGTCTCGGGCATGGTTTCGTTACTCTTGTCGTGAACAGCGGCGCCTTACCAGGCGCAACTGCGCAGTTGCTGGCGAGCTCAATGCGGGGCATCCCTTTCGATGATTGGTAAAGGGAAAGAGAGAAACCGAACTCTTTTCCTCGTGGGAACCCCACGCAGGCAGAAGTTGACGACGGTCTGGCGAGCCAGAGCTTGATTTAGGGGGCGCACGATGAGGGGGCACTCCTAGCACGAGACGAATGCGTATTTTCTGACAAAACTAGGACGCGCGATTGCAAGCACAACTGAAGCGTACCGGCAGCAAATAACATTGGCTCGGAACCGCTGTTTACCTCCAGGACATCGGCTGGAGAGAGGTCGGGCAATCCCACGACGAATTCGCCGCCGCGCAACGGCGGCCGCCCCTTCGCGCCTCGTCGCCGCCCAATGGACCTGTATAAGCGGGACAGCCCTATCTACGCTGGAAAATCATACCCGCTCGAAGAAATCGTCTGATCAGCTTCTGACGTCGCCACGTCGCAGACCTCGCCGCGGCGCGGGCTCCACTCGAAGACAGGGTTGCCTTGGAAGCTCACGCCCTGCCGCCGCGCTTGCGCCGGGCGACCTGCGCCGCTGAGGAAGGAGATCGAGGGCGACCGTGCCCCGCGCGGCAGCGGCGGGCACGCCCTGGCGAGGAGTGAAGCACGGCTGCGCAACCTGGCGCGCTGGAGAGCGCCCTTGGACAGCCGGGCCAGGACCTGGCCAAGGCGCCCGCCCTTCTCGCGCCAGCACGGCGACGTGGCACTCACCCAGCGGCCGCGCCGCTGAACTCCATCCAAGTCGCGCAACTCGCAAGCGACCTCGCAGGGCGCCCCGCCGCGCCGGCACTGGCCGGAGATGGTTGGCACCGGCGCTCTCCTGCTCCGGCGGCTTCGGCCGCGGCCCCGAAGTGCGCCGCCAGCTCGCCGCGCGCGAAAAGGAACGAGCGCGGGCCGCGCCGCGCCTGCAGCCGCGCCAGCGCCGGGATCAGGTCGCAGCACTCGCCGCTGCCCATCTCCAGCGCCTCGTCGTAGAGCCCAATCTTCGACGGCTGCGCCGCCTCGGCCGGGCGGGGCGCCGCGCCCCGCAGGGCGCGGCCCGTCGCGGCGCCCGCTGGCGGCCCCGCCCGGCCCTTGAGCTGCATGGAGTAGATGCCCACGGGTCCTAGGTCTGAGCAGGGCGCGCGCCGGCGCCGCCGGCGCGCCCATCTGGCACGGATCGCGCGCGCGATTGCGGGGGTGCGTCGGCGATCTCGTCGCTGCTGGCGCGAGCTTCACGGGGCCCGCCCGCGCTGCCTCCGCGCGCGCTCCAAGTCGGCGCCGTCGCGCCCCAGCGCGCAGCGAAGCGCCGACGCAGCCAGCCACGACTTACTAAAGCCTTCCGAGGTCGCCCCCGCGAAGAATATCGCGCCCCCCCACGCGCGCGGTCTGGGCCTCGCCCTTCTGCTCCAGCGTCGCCAGTGGCAAGTTGTTCTCCAGGGCCCACTTGGGGAATCCCGCGAACGATGCCCCACGCAGCTTCTCTGGCCCTTGAAACGCTGACTCGGGCTCGAGGAAGCTCCGCCCCCAGCTCCAGCTCTGTCCGGCCTCCTCCAGCCGCCACTTCCCATCCTGCGTTCTCTCCTCGCGCTGGAAACTCTCGGCCGCTGCCCGAAGGGTCTGCCGCGGCGCGCCGTCTTGCGCGTGGAAATCGCCGACCGAGCCTGCTCGTCGCGGGCGGGCGAGTCGCTCCCAGCGCGAGGGCCCCCGCCTCGCGGCGGGCCAGCGCCCTCGCGCCCGGGCCCCTAGGGTCGCGAATCGAGTAGGGCTGGTATCTTCTGACGCCGCCCACCTCGCCATGGCCGCCACCCCCGCCCCCCGGGCAATTCGCCCCCCCCCCCCCCCCCCCCCCCTCGCTGTCGGCATGGCCTGGTCATCTCCGTCGCCAATCATGAACGCCACTGACATCGCATCAGAGATACTTAACACACAGCTATGGTCGCGCAGGCGTCGAAATTGATGTTTCAAGGAGCAACGTCTGAAGCGTCGGCACATGCTTGCGCCGCCGCCGCGGGGCTGCGCCAGCCGCGCGCCGCGGGCCAACCATCAGCTCGGCAAGCACCTCCGAACACTTCCCCTCGCAAGGCGCCCCCCCGGCTTCGGGCCCGCGCCCGGCCCAGCGGCAGCAGACCAAGGGCGCCTTCGTGCTATCGTCCTGCTCTCCGCCGCCGGGGCAGCAGCGGGCGCGCGGGCGAACCCTGGCGCTCAGCTCGCCGTTCTTGCTAAAACGCCACCTCTCGTTGCCCTGGCCCGCGCGCCGGACCAGCCTTGCCGTCCGATCGCCCTGGGCGACTCCTCGCCCCTGGGCGGAGCGTCTGAGACCATCGCCGCGGCCCCCGCTGGGCGGCCAGGGCCAGGCGCACAGGCGGGAGCAGCGTCGCGGCCCGCCAGAGCTCCCACCGCGCTGCCAGCCAGATTGCTGTCTGCTGGTTGCGGCGGGTCTGGACGGAAGCCGCAGACCGCGCCGAAGCAGGACATCGCCCCTCTCCTCCTCAACGCGGCAAACGCGAGATGCCCCGCAACGACCTCCGCCTGCCATCCGAATATTTGCAGCCGTCGTCACAGTTCACGCGCCACCATGCGAAGCCGCCGCGCTTGGCCTGTGTCGGGAGGCCGACGCGCCAGCCGCGGCAGACATCGCCCGCGCTGGCCTCGCCCCCCGTGGGTCGGCAGGGCCGCCGCCTTCACGCTGGCGCCCGCGGCCTCCTTCGCGCCCCCGATGTCTTGCGAGGGCGCCCGAAATTCTCCGCGTGCTGCGCGTGGCTCACTGGGCCCAGCGGCGGCGGCAACCCGCGGTCGATCCCCCCCGCGAGCTCCTCGCGAACGCTCCGGCAGGCCCCCAGCGCCAGGGGCCACCCCGTCGGCGCGGCCGCGAAGCACGGCGCCACGATGTCGCTCGCACCTCGCGGCCTGCCCCGCGCGCGATGTCCAGCCCCTCCTGCGGCCAATGCCTTCGTTTTGTATTGTTTTGTTTTGTGGTTGCTCCTGCGACGCTCTGCCACATGTCTTGTGACAACTGGAACTCTTGTTGATTGAACCCACTGTGAGCCCTCAGCGCTGCCAGGAAAAGAGCACGCCAGAACGCGAGCAATCCGCCGACCCTGCCAGGGGGCCCTCACGAACACACTCCAGCAGAGCACGCGCTCCAGCAAAGCCTGCGGCCAATGCCTTCGCGCCGCTTGGGCCGTGCCTGGCCCAAGGGCCCCATCGGAGAGTCGTCCGCCGGCCTCTCCCGCCACCCCCTCGAGGCCACGCCGCGACCGGCCCCCGGAGGGCACGGGGAGGAGGTCGGTCTCGAGGGGCGCGAGGGGCGCGCGGGCCCTGAAGCGCGAAACTTGTGGGATGGAGGGCGGCTGGCTTTCAAAATGTGTAACCTCTCCTCGGCGACCCGCACAGATTCGCTTCTAAAGGCGCGCAACAGCTTCAAGGATGGAGGACTGGCGGTTTACAGCGTTTGGCTATCGCATTAGGGCAGCGCGCGCACATGCTATCGTTTCAAGGATTCGTGTGGAGGTCCCTGGAATGGCGTTCTGGCACGATTGGGGGTTGTCAGGACGCGACAGTCAGGTTCGATTCGCGGTGTTGAAGTCCCAGGAGCGGTGTTCTGGTGCGAATTAGGATTGTCAGGACATGACAGATATATTGATCCGCGGCGTTGCTGTCCCAGGAACGGTGACGAAGCGTCATGGGTTTACATTGGTCCTCATCCTCATCTTCCTTCCTCCGCTGCCATCTGCGGGGAAGCAAAAAATACCGACACTGCTACTCCGTAGACCACTTCAGGGGGACGTTCTGATCAGGACTTCGATGCGAATCCATCCGTGACGATGAGGCACGGGCAGCGACACCTTTGCACTTCTGGCTCATGGCGAGAGGGGAAAGAAGAAAGGGGGTAACCAGACTGGCGCATGCAATTTTAAAGTTCCCCCGATCGCCCGGCGTGCTCATGATTGCTGGCCACACCGCGGAGAGCTCCTCCTGCTTCCCGAGCCTGCCAGGGGCTGGCCAAGCTACTCCCAGACCTCCAGCGCGCTGACAACAAAAAGAGCAGCCGAGGCTTCTCCGCCGATTTCGGCCTCCAAGGGCCCTCGCCGGGCCCCAGGGCCGTAAGGAGACGGCTCGAAACGGAAAGCCGGCCCCGATGAACGGGTCAAGGCCTCTTGGGCCCACTACGTGAAAAAAGACGGCCTCGGAGGTCAAGGGGTCAGTCACATCAGCCGCCCATTTGTATGGAAGCAGCGTCCGCGCCTCAGGTCCGCACTGCAGCACCACGCTTGCTGAGGCGTGAAGGGGTACATCTTAAAACAACCCGCGCACTCTATAATATCCATGCCAATGAGATGGCCGGCCCTGGCCTTCATCAAAATGACGTCCTCCCCTCCTCCTCCTCCTGCTCCTCCTCCTCCTGCTCTTCTTCCGTCTGCGGGTGCCACTGCTGCTGCTCCTCCACAGAGATCCGACTGATGATTTTTTAAGGCAACGACCAGACCTGGAAAGGATACGTCGGGAACCGATGTCGAAATTCCATGCCGCTGCTGCCACAATGGCGGAGGACGACGAAGGAACGAGGGAAAAGACGAGGAGGACGAGGCCGAAGGGAAAAGCAATGACGACCCCAAAGCGCAGAGACGGCAACGCGAGAGGATGGGAAAAAGACTGGACGCGACAGGCCGACGAGACAAAACGAAAAGAAGCGAACGACAAGAGAGGCTAGCGCGGGGCGGCCCCGCGCGGCCGACTCGGCCAAATAATTCCGGCGGGGGCACGCGGCAGAAGCCGGGTTGAGACACCGCGGCCGCATTTCGCGGGGCGGCCCGGATACAACAGAATCCGCCGATTCGGGCCCCGAGGAGGAAGAGGAAGAGGAGGAAGAGAAGAGAAGGGGCAAAGGCGCTGCGCCACAATCCCTTGCGGCTCAAGCGGCCACTTACATCGTGTGAAGACACGCAGCTGCACCCTGGGAATGAAAAGCGAAAAAGGAGAAGGAAAAGGGAAAACCTGCCTGGCACGTAGGGCGCTCGCAATTCGTATTCCGATGCGCCTCCTCCTCCTCCTCCTCCTCCTCCTCCTCCTCCTCCTCCTCCTCCTCCTCCTCCTCCTCCCCCTCCCCCTCCCCCTCCTCCTTCTCCTGTCCCTCCTCTTCCTCCTCCTCCTCCTCCTCCTCCTCCTCCTCCTCCTCCTCCTCCTCCCCTCCCCAGCCTGTGAAGGGTCAGCACGTACTGCTGGAGGAAGTTCGGGTGCTGACAGAAAGCGTCCCTGGCCCAAGGGTGCCCCCCCAAGGGAGGCCCCGACAGCAGCCCCGCAGGCGTGGCCTCCAAAATGCCCCCACGAAGGGGCCAGACGACAGGATCGGTCAGCATGGAATTTATGTTGCATCCTCGGGGGACCTTGTCTGTCCCGTCGCGGCCCTGTCCGCGTCGAATGCGTGTCGAATCCATGTCGGACGCGTCGGATCCGTGTCGAATCCCTGTCGAATCCGCGTCGAATCCACGCCAAATCCGCGTCGAGTCCGCATCGAGCCCGCGTCGGGCCCCCAAAAAGACACCACTTTTAGGGACAGGCGAGGTCCCCCGAAGATGCAACAGAAGGGAATCAAGGAGTCGGATCAGATCGGAGCGTCCTTCGAGGCGGGCCGCACCGGCACGGAGTCGGAATCGCATCGGATCGACCGCGTCAGAATGCACAGCAGCGCCGTGCAAGCATCGGGCCGCATCGGATCGTCGGGCAGTCGAGATCGCATCGGATCGGACTGGCCGAGATCGGCATCGAATCGGGTCGATCGGATCGAAACTAACCGCACAAGGGACCAACGAAGGAGGCTCTGAACCTGCCTGGGAGTCGAAATCACGTGCACAAATCTCCGGCGCTGTGATCTGTTCCTTGCATGAGCCCTGGACCTCTCGACAACTTCCGTGGGACAAGCTTGGTACTGTGCCGTTGTTTGATTATGCGGCGAGCGAGGTTGGGACGCGAGCAGGAGGAGGCCCTCTTAGAAGGCTCAGACTTCCCCGGGCCTTCCGAGAAGCTTTCCAAGCCTTCCCCAAAGACGCAGAAAGCCTCTCAGAAGGCGCGAGGGCTCCTGAGAAGCCCCGCCGCCTTCTGAGAGGGCCTTCTCCTTCTCACTTCTAGAAAAAGAAAAAACGGCATAAGCATAAACTTTCGACGGTCCGCGCGGATCTCTTGGATCTGCGATGGGCCCCCTCCCCGGCGCGCCGAAGGCTCGGCCAGGGCGCTCCAGCACAGATCCAAGGAATCCGCGCGGAGCGCCAACAGTTTATGTTCGGGGCGTTTCTTCTTCTTCGAACTTCCCCCCCTCGCTAGCCGCCGATCCCACGGAGGCCAGAAGAAGGGGGGGCGTCTCGCTGTTGCTAAAGACGTCGCAAATCTGAAGAAGCTCCAACTCAGCCACGGGTGAATAGGGACACCTCGAGTTAGGCTGGGCATGTCCTCCTACAGGCGGATGTGTGGAGAGATCTTTGTTGATTCGGAGAAATCAAAATGGCCTAAAAAGCACGAAACACCGTCCCCAGACTACTTTTGCTACCATTCTTGAATATTCCTCCTGTAGAGGGACATGCCCGACTTAAACATAGAGATTTGGCGGCTCCACCAAGCAGACTACGAGGCTCTTGCCGCTTCGGCCCTCTGACGGCTCGTTTCTGGCCGCGGGTGCCGTCCACAGACCGATCCTCGAGATGAGCAGCTGGCCGTGGAGAAGGGGTCGAGAGGTCCAGGGGCCCATGTCTCGACGAACGTCACGCCGCCGGATCTCTGGGACCCTGCTCCAGAGATCGGGTGCGAGGCGGGGATCTATCCATACCCACCGCCTGGGAACCGACGTCCTGGTGCCCCAGCGGGCGGCGGATGTGGATATACATATACATCCTTATCTATATATATATATGTGTATATATATATGAGAGAGCGTGATCCACCGCCGCTTTGCTGTGGAAAATTGCCAACCTTTTCCTCCGGAACCCGGGGGTCGCCCCCCCCCCCCCCCCTCCGAAAATCCCCCCCCCCCTGCTGGACCCCTCCCCCCCCCCCCCCCCCGGCAAAACCCCCCCTCCCCTAACCCCTCCCCCCCCCCTCCCCCTCGAAAACCGGGGGGGGGTCACTACCGGTTCGAACCCCTCCCCCCCCCCCCCCCTCCGGATCCGGAAAACCGGGGGGGGTCACTACCGGTTGGAACCCCCCCCCCCCCCCCCCCTACTCACCGCCAGCAAACGACTCCCGGTCCCCACCACCGTCCGCATCACATCCCCCACTGGTGTTCCCAGCACCACTGTCCTCACCACCGCTGTCCCCACTGGTTCCACCACCGCCCCTACTGTCCCCACCAGTGGCCCCACCACTGTCGCACTGTCCCCGCTGTCCCCAGAACTGTTCCCACCACGGTTCCACTCTCCCCACTGTCTCCACGGCCCCAACCACTGCCCGACTATCCCCACTGTCCCCACTGTCCCACTGACTCCTCCGCTGTCCCACTGAGCTGTCCCACTGTTCCCACCACTGTCCCCACTGTCCCCACCACTGTCCCCACTGTACCTCTGTCCCATTGTCCCACCGCCGTCCTCGCCACCGCCTTCACCACTGTCCCCACCACCATTGTACCCTCCACTGTCCCACTGTTTCCACCTCATTCCCATTGTCCCCACACCACTGTCCCCACCACCACCGTCACCACCACTGTCCACTGTCCCCCCCTGTTCCCACCATTGTCCCCACCACTGTCCCCACCACTACCGTCCCCACCACTGTCCCACTGTCCCACTGTCCCCACCACTGTCCCGCTATCCCCTCACCACTGTCCCCACCAACACCGTCCCCACCACTGTCCGCACCCCCACTCGGTTTTCGAGGGGGGGGGGGGGGTTCGAACCGGTAGTGACCCCCCCCGGTTTTCGAGGGGGGGGGGTGGGAAGGGGTTCGAACCTAGTGACCCCCCCCCCTTTTCATGACCGAACCGGTAGTGACCCCCCCCGGTTTTCCGGAGGGGGGGGGGAGGGGTTCGAACCGGTAGTGACCCCCCCCGGTTTTCCGCCAGCAGCGGTAGAACACGCTCTTTCATATTTATACATTCACATGTATATATATATATATATATATATATATACACACATACGGCCCCCGGGGGCCCAAATACGTCCATAGCCACCGCCTGCCGAGGCTCCGAAAACTGGCCCTCCAGGCGCTGGATATGGATAGACTCCCGCCTCGCATCGGGCGTCCGATTTCCGTTCGACGCAGGGCCCCTGAGCAAGTCCCGACCCTCTGCCGAGGGCCGACGGGGGCCCTCCCGGGCCGAAGGCGGCGGAAAAGCAAAGCCTGCTCTCCAACGCCCAGACGTCATCCGACCACACAGTCGGCCTTGATTGGACAGGACACGCGAGAGGACACAAGACCCTTCCGAGGGCCACATCGCAACAGAAGTGCAAGAAGGCACGTGTCGCGAGGCACAAGACACAAGGGTATCCTTGAGCTGGCAAGGTCGACCTACTAATCCGGGCCGACTGTACGTCCGAGGTCTGTGGGGAAACAGAAATACCAATACTGCCACCCCGTGGGCCTCTCCTGGGGTGCGTCCTGACCAGAGCTTCGAACCGAACCCAGTCGTGGTAACGATGGACGGGTAGCGGTACAGTGGCGGCCCGTCCACAAGAAACCTTCCACAAGAAACCCAACCCTGCGACCCCAGGACGCCCATGGATTTTTGGTGCGGGAACGCCACGCTCTCCATCGCAAAGCCCTCGAAACACAAGAATCCCAGGGCACCTGGGAGGCAAGCAGGGTGTTTCTTGGCGTGGGCCTCCCCTGTATCGCGAGTTGTTCCTCCCTGCGAGGCGGGAATGTATCCACATCCACCGCCTGGGAACCGAAGTCCTGGTGCCCTAGCGGGCGGTGGATGTGGATACACACACATATATATATATATATATATATATATATATATATATTCGGCCCCAGGGGGCCCGAGTTTGTCCATATCCACCGCCTGCCGAGGCTCCGAAAACTGGCCCTCCAGGCGGTGGCCATGTATAAATTCCTGCCTCGGACTCCCATGAGTCTGGGGTGGCTCACGGGGTGGCTCTGAGGAGGAGGAGGAGGAGGAGGTGGAGGAGGGGGAGTGAGGAGGAGGAGGAGGAGGAGGAGGAGGAGGAGGAGGAGGAGGAAGAGTAGGAGAGGGTGTTTCTTGGCATGGGCCTCCCCTGTATCACGAGTTTTTCCTCCCATGAGTCTGGGGTGGCCCACGGGCGCCCACTGCCAGCGCCCGCGGGCAGTGCGGGTCCCTCCTCACCGCCGAGCGGGAGCGGAACACGGCCCCCAGCTGGGCCCAGGCCTCCTCCGCGCGCCCCAGCGAGAGCAGCACGGAGGCGTAGAACTGGAGCACCTCCGCGCTCCTGCGGCTTCTCCTCCTCTCCCTCCTCGTCCTCCTCCTCCTCCTCCTCCTCCTCCTGCTCCTGCTCCTCCTCCTCCTCCTCCTCCTCCTCCTCCTCCTCCTCCTCCTCCCTCCCTCCCTCCCTCCCTCCCTCCCTCCCAAGTCATAGAAAAAGAAAAACAGCATAAGCACATAAGCACGGAGGCGTAGAACTGGAGCACCTCCGCGTTCCTGCGGCCCGCCCCCCCCCGGTCATAGAGAAAAAGAAAAGCAGCATACAGTCGGACTTGATTGGAGAGGACACGCGAGAGGCACGAGACCCTTCCCAGGGCCACGTTGCCACAGAAATGCAGGAGGCACGGGTCACAAGACACAGGACACGAGGGCACCCGTGCTCTGGCAGGGTCGACCTACTAATCCGGGCCGCCTGTAAGCATAAACCTGTGGCGCTCCGCGCGGACTTCTTGGATCCGCGCTGGGCCCCCTCGGCGGCGCCTCCGGCGCCGCCCCATGGCGCGCTCCGCTCCGCGCGCGGGGGAGGGGGGGGGGTCCAGCGCAGCTCCAAGCAAGCCGCGCGGAGCGCCAAAGGTTTATGCTCATGGCGTTTTCCCTTCTTCGGGACAGAATGCTCGACGGCACCCGTGGGCCCTCAAAGGTTTCTCTCTCCTGCTCTCCCACATTGGCGCCGTCCTCTCCTGCTCTCCACCATTTGTGCCGTCCCGAGCTGGGCGAGGACGAGGTGGAGGAGGGGCGGAGGAGGGAAGGAGGGAAGGGACGTTTCCCGACGTTGTCGCTGGTCTGCGGCTGTTGTCCTGCTTCAGGATGCGTTCCAGCGGCTGCGCCTGGCCGTGACCGCTCCAAGTGGGGCGACGCAATCTATACATACCCACTGCTCCCTGCCAGGCCCATCCTGAACCCAGCAGCAGTGTGTACGCCACGCCCTCCTGGCTCGGCCAGAAGGGAGTACACTAGGGGAACGAAGAATGACATAAACAGAAAAACTCGGAGCTCCGCGCGGATTTCTCGGATCGGCGCTGGCCCCCCTTCCTGGCGCGCGGAGCGCGCCACGGGCGGCGCCGGAGGCGCCGCCAAGAGGGTCCAGCGCCGATCCGAGGAATCCGCGCGGACATCCGAGCTTTTCTTTTCCCCCCCACCCACAGAGATCTCTAGAGGGCCCGCAGAGTTCCCAAGGCCACGGTCGCTGACAGACTCGCCATCGCTCGGACGTCCATTCCCTGTGTTTTTTTCGGTTTCGTGCGTGGTTTTTCGCCAAATGATTAAGGATGCTCCTCGATGGTCCTCGCCGAAGGAAGAATGCACACGTCCGAGCGATGAAAAGCAGAGCCCATCCCTGCGGCTCCATGGTCCGAACCAAGGGCCGCGCGACGGGACACGCAGAGCGGCTGGGACAGCCACGAGCGAGAAAGACAGTGCGAGGCCATGCGGCCGAAACAAAGAGGAGGCGGAGGAGGAGGAGGAAGACAGAAGAGAGAAGAGAGCGACTGAGCCCTAGAAGGAACATCTCGAGCATGGACCTTCCACGCGCGCGCTGAAGCGCTCGACCGCGGCATGCGGGACACCCCTCGGTACCACACCGAAGCCCTGGCCAAAATGGCTCGGCTAATAGGCACAGCCGCGGGACAACCTAGGAGGAGAAGATAGGGAATGATGCATTAAATCGTTGTGAGCGCATGCCCCCATGATCCGAACGATCATTTGTACAAAGTGGCACTCGGCAACATCATACTGGCGCAGTGTCGGAACATACCCCAGATTCCTGACAAGCCGCGGCGGAAGATACAAGAGAAGGAAGGGACGGAGGCAGGAGGGGACAACAAATGACGGGTACACGCACTCGCCAATTATACATACTGGACTCGGAAGCGGGCACAGAAGCGCCTGGCAAGCGCGCAAATGCACTACAACGGCTGGGAGGGAAGAGCCTCGATGGCTAAAACGGCCCAAGGTCGGCCGACAACGGCTGCAAGCACTTCGCTGCATTGCCCGTGCAACCGATAGCATCGAAGCTACCAATAGAGGGGGATCGGGGGGGGACAGGATAGGGGAACAGGAGGAGGAGGAGGAGGAAGAGGAGGGGGAGGCCAATCACCTCAGTGTGCACTCCCTGGCGCGCCGCGCTGCGCGCACTCATCACGCTGTGCCACATGTCGCTGCGCCGCGCGCGCCGGCCCCCTCGCCGCCATCGCGCCTTCTTGCGCGCTGCGCCGCGAGCTATGCATCCCCCTCTCCACCCCCAGCGCCCGCAGCGCATTCCGGCTCCGTGCGAAGTCGCCCGCAGCGCATTCCGGCGCGCTGCGCAGTGCTCGCGGCGCCCCCGCCCGCCGCCCCCCAGGGCCGCTGGGCCTGCGCCGCGCGCCGCCGCGGCCCCCGCGCCGACCCCCCCGGGCCCATGGTGGCAGGGGGGAGGAGAGGAGGAGGATGAGGAGGAGGAGAGGAGGAGGAGGAGAGGAGGAGGGAGGAGGAGGAGGATGAGGAGGAGGAGGAGGAGGATGAGTAGGAGGAGGAGGAGGAGGAGTGAGGAGGAGGAGAAGAAGGGAGGGGCGAGGGAGGAGGAGAGAGGAGGGAGGGGGAGGAGGAGGAGATGAGGAGGAGGAGAGGAGGAGGAGGAGGAGAGAGAGGAAGGAGGAGATGAGAGGAGGAGAGAAGGAGGAGGAGGAGGAGAGGAGGCGAGGGCGGAGTGAGGAGGAGGAGGAGGAGGGAAAAGGAAAAGGAAAAGGAGGGAGGAGGAGGAGGAGGAGGAGGACGACGACGTCGACAAGGAGAGCCAGGCGGTCTCCTGGGCGCCAGCGGCACCGCGCGCTCCAGCAGACCCAGGGCCTTTACCGCACGCGCTGGGGGGGGGGAGGGGGGCACGCGCCCCTCAGCTGCGGGGCGCACGGCGGCGGTCAGGCCGAGCTCCCCTGAGATCTGGGCGCTACATATGTTCCTGCGCCGGTCGTTCTCACCCAGAGTAGGGCCCTGGAACCCTCATTGATCGATCGAGCTCGCGAGATGCAGCAAGCAGAAGAAACCTGCAAGCCCACACTGCGGAGTAAGTCGTGATTTCCCCAGCATGATGCATTTTCAAACCCAGCGTTTGTTTCCTTACTTTCCGCCCACGAGGCGTTTTCGGGACCCGGGCCATGAAGCATGATTCCGAAGTTCATTCATCGGGGGCGATCAATGAGGGGGGGAGACACGTGCACCTCTTGTACCCGAAAACGGCCTTCAAGGGGCCCCCTGGGGCCCAAAGGGGGCCTGAAAGCTGCGCGTCCCCCCCCCCCACATGTACTCATCGCCCCCCCATTAAATAACCATTCGTCGCTCCCCCCGTCGATCCTAGGGTCGTCCTCGACCCGACGGTGAGACCCTCCAGGGGTCCTTATGCGTCACCTCAGGGGCCTTCCAGCCCCACGACTTGGCCCACCGGGCCACTCACAAGAAAGCTTGCTCGATGCCAGCTGCCCATGGACTTGTTGTCATCAGCAGGGGTCTCGATCTGGATCTTCGGAGCACGTTCGAACAGGTCATGCCAGTACTCTGGATGATCACTGTCGGCAACTCAGCCTGTAGGCCACGCTCCTCCACAAGATAGCGAAGCACCTTGTCGCGCCATAGTGGAAAGCTCGCCAGGCTCTCGCACGCACAGAGCCCGATATCCCCGATTCCAATGTGGAAGTCGGTCCCCTTGGGCAGGCGCAAGGTGCGCACTGGCTGGTCGACGCCACTCTGGCCCGGCGCCTGGCCGCCTGAGCCCTCGATCTTGGAGCCCTCCGCGTCGGACGCGAAGTGGTCCCCGGCCGGGAGCGAACCTCCCTCCGGGGCCGGCGGCGCCTGCTCCTGGGCCAGCGCCATTTGGTAGAAGCTCTCCAGCACCTTCACACGGTCGTAGATGCGGTCCTCGATGGCAGCCGGGGTATGGATCGTGATGTTCCCCGTGCTCGCATAGTATGTCGTGGTCACCTGCGCCCTGGCCTCCTTGCCCGTCAGCCGGTCGCCCACGCACTCGGCGCGCACTTGGACCTTGATGCGATTGCTGGGGCCCTGGATGGTCCCCTTCCGCCGCTTCTGTGAGGCTCTCCATGAAGCTCCGGACTCCCTTCGGTTCGTTCGTCGCCTCGACCTTGACCATCTGGATGTGGTCGGCCGCGCGTAGTGAGCTGCTTCCGTAGAGAGCGTTCGGCGGAGGCTTGAGCCAGAACGCTGTTTTCGTCAGACAACTGATAGAGCCCACTTCGAATACAACTCCTGAGAAGGTCCCCAGGTTCCGCCTTATCTTCTGTGAGGCAGTCGGCAAGCATGAGCGAAGTCGGACCCCGCCTCAACGTGGCACTCATCCTCCGCAGGCTCTCTTTACTGATAGCTATGTCCACTGCGCAACGCTTGTCATCAATGCCAGACGGACTTCCCATATTGATCAGATTGTCGTTTAATACTTTACAGTCGATCACTGCCAGGCTCTGGAGCTACCCGAGGAACCTAGACCTGTCTCCGAGAGAAGCCTCTGAAGAACCCAACAGCGAAGAAACACATGGCCCACTCCAAATGCCCAAGACCGTCCGTCATGACCGATGACTCCCCAGCCAGAGTAGACTTCACCACCCTCTTCACGCGGTAGCTCCTCCAGATCATTGGACTCCATGGCGCCACTAGACCCTTCTCCATCCGATTCGTGACCCCGATGATGTAGCCCCCTTGGGTATGCCCCATGTTAGACACCTCCTGCGACGAGTAGCCTGAGTGGCAAACGAGAGTAAGCTCTTCGATAGGTATCGATGGGTAGCGGATTTCGAGATCGGCGAACTGCCGGGCCCGTCGGGCCAACATGTTTCCCCTCCGAACGTCACCTGCCGTGGGATTCGGCATCTTCTGTTGACTCGACCTCACGAGGATACTGAGGTCAGGACGAGTCTGGGCGGCCAGCCAATTACCCCGCTGGTTGAGAGAGATGAAGTCTTTTCACCTCTGACAGTATGGCGAGTGCATCTGCGCCAGCGTGCCGGCGTGTCGGCACTCGCTCCATCTCCTCACTGGCGCACTGGCGCTGCGACTGCACGATGGTGTAGTCGGCGAGCTGCTGCAGCTTCGAGCCGACGAACTCGCCCTCCTGGTCGTTCCACTTCCGGCATGGAAACTTCCCCTTCAGCCTGGCGATGGCCTGAACCCACTTCGCGCCTCTTCCGCCGAAGACCCCGTCGTCGACGTGCTGGCCGATGACCCCGCGCAGGTCGCCTGGGCGTGCATCGCGACGCGGTTCCAGGCCCGAGCCCTCGATCACGCGGTAATCGCCCAAGTCAAAGTCCCTGGTGTCCCCGATGTCCTCGGATAGCATCAGGACGCACGGGTCAAGGGGATGTCGCATGAAACCCAGCTCCTCGGCGAGGTACTTGCTGAACGTCAGCCACCAGAGCTGCGGTTGTTCACTGCGCCCGCAGCCGTTGATCAATCACCTCGCACAGCCGGTCCTCAGGCATGTCCTCAGGAAGGAACTCGGACGGCAAGTACACGTAGATGGCCCCGTGCTCGGCGGGAGCAAGAGAAGCATCAGTCTCCAGGAAGACGCCCTCCACGTCACCGATGGCCATCGGGAACTTCGCGGAGGCGATGGTCCGCAGCACGAACGCTCGGCCGTTGGACGACAGAATCGGAACCTGAGCCCATCCGGCCCTCACCAGTTCCAGCAGATCCGGGTCCTGGAAGCCCTGGATGGTCATGCGACACTTAACCTCGTCCTCCCGCTCCGTCAGCACCGGCCGGGGCTTCGTGATGCGCTCCGGCTTTGTTGATCGCAATCGGCGCGACTCCTCCAGCGGTAGTGGACGCCACGCCTTGGTCCTGTTGATCAGCTCGTCGCACTCCTTGGCGTGCCCTTTGGCGATTTTCTCTAGCCCCGTCATGGTCGTCCACTGCGGATTTTCCGATTCAGCTCCTTGCGGCCTCCCGCCAGCATGACCTCCTCTTCGTCCACGGCCAAAATCTCGTCGTCGTCCTCGCTGTCCTCGGCCGCCATCACCGCCAAAGTCAACTGCGCCTTCGGCTGCTTGACCTGGTCCGACGCTGACGGGAAGGGACCGCGCTTCGCGCCCTGCCCGTGCACGCGGGCGCGCTTCACCTCCTCGGGAAAAGTCTTTCCAGCGAGTCGTCTATGGGGCCTGGCGCGGTCTGCCTCCTCGGCACATCCCCCAGGCTCCCGGGCATCGCGTTCGCCGGCCTCGGCCCCTCCTTCAGCTGTCGGCTCCTGCAGGAGGTCCTCCTCGGCATCCTCGGGAAACGGCACCTCGGAGGGGTCGACTGGCCGTTGCGCTACGCGCGGTTCGGGGCCGGGGCCAGCTGCTGGACCTCTCTGATGTGGGGGGGGCTCTTCCCTCACTGGCTCCTGCGTCTGCTCGGCCTCCTCCTCCTCGGCCTCCTCTGGTGGGCGCTCCTCGGCAGTGATGTCGTGGTAGTACTGCGCCTTCATGCTGTCCAAGTCAATGGTGTGCGACCGCAGCGAGCCCTCGACGGGGCGCCACGCTGCGCGCTCCTCGGCGCTGGCCATCCTCAACTGCTCCGGCGACGCCTTCAGAACGCACCCCGGCACGGCGATCCAGTAGTTGCCACGCGCCGCACCCGCGTACAAGCCTGGCCTCCATGCACCGGTAGTGGGCTCGGCGAGTCTGCAGAAGCCACCTCCGCCCTTCGTGCCCTTCCTCCAAACGGCCACCATGCCCCCTGGCTTGCACGTGATGCGGCGCCGCGGCCTCGCGTCCAAGGCCGCTCGGGTGGCGCGCTGGTCGTTGTAGCTCGACGGCTGGCGCCCAGCGACGGCTCGCACTCGAGCCGCGAAGATGGCCGGCGGGTCATGCAGCACCGCGCTGTTCGCAACGATGTCCGGCGAGTCCACCAAGAGGTCCTCGGGAACCTCGGGGTTCCGCCTGAACGTGATCTGCGCCGGGCTCAGGGAATTAATTCTCGCCTCCTGAACCTGGGCCACGCACTCCCGCCACTCTCCGCGATCCTGCGGCTGGACCTCCGCGATCACGGCGTGCAGCATCTGGGCAAACCACTGGCCGTGCCGCTCCACCTTCCCGTTCTGCTCCTTGGCGCCTCCGGCCGTGTCCAGCATGGTGGTGCCGTCGCGCTCCATGGCGCTGGTGAACACCTGGGAGACGTGGGGCTTCGCCGGATCCAGTCGAAGCCGCTTCGGTCGCATGTGGGGTCTCGTCCAGTTGTCGCGGCGCATGCGGAGCAGGTCGCTCGCCACCTCCTCGTCGCCCTCATTGAACGGCGTCATGGACTGCAGCGAGGACGCATCGCAGACGATGCACGGCGCCCTGAGAGTCTGGTTTGGTAACCACGAGAGCAGCTCCTTCACGCCCATGCCGATGGACCGGAGGGGCGGCTGCGCGATGTCAGGAGCGGCTGGTCGAAAGGGCTTCGGGTCAGCCTTCGCCTCGCACTCATCGCACCTGAACTCCGACGCTATCTTCAGGGCCTCCTCGGTCGCGTTGGCATGACTGAGATGCCTCGGCATGGTCGGCGCCGGGGCGTGACCGAGGTTGACGTCCAAACGTCGCAGACTGGCCTCGACGCTTCCATGTAGATCCATCTATGCTTACTCAGTGCAGCTGCTTATTTAGTAGTCGGCCTTAAAGGTATCGTCCTTACAATTTAGCGTCGACGCTAGATTTTAGCGACGATCAGCGTCGAGTCATGCTCCAACACGGTATAACATTCGAAAAAGGAGGTGTGGCCTCCTGAAGAGGGCGCGTGCGCCCCGGTGGAGCAGGAGGCGCCGCTCCTCCGCAGCGCTGTGGCGCGTGCACTTTTTCTGTCCGCGCGCGCGGCAGTCGCGCCAGCCGCGCCATCGGCTGCGCGCGGTGGCGCGCGATCACCGCTCGGGAGAAGCCCGTCGCTGAGAGCGGGGGGCCGCGCCTGTTCGCCGCGTGGCCCACGCTGCCCCCGAAGTCCTCGCCCCCGTAGGTCCAGCACAGCCACGGCTGCCCTCCCGCGAAGGCCATCTCGAGGAGCAGGTGCGCCTTCGGCTTGACGCGCCAATTCCTCGGCTGCAGCGCGGCAAGAGAGGCAAACAAGGTCACGAACCTGCTGGCGGAGTCGCGCATCAGATCCTTTCTGAAGATGCACTGGCCGCTCAACGTGTGGTAGCAGGAGTGCAAGTGGCGCATGGCGTTCAGCGCGGCGTCGTCCACGGCACTCCTAGAAACGCAATGCGTCTCGGCCGCTTCCTTGCAGAATCGGATCAGATGCCTCGGGATGGCCGCCTGGCCGCGGAACTTGGGCGCGCTTTCTTGGGCTTCACCGTGCGCTCGTTGAAGTCGTGGAGGCGGTCGGGCGTCGAGTGCGCGTCGTAGTGCGCCTGGATGAGCCTCCACATCTCGTCGCTCTGTTGCGCGGCGGCGCCCAGGGAGCTTCTTCATGATGTGCCAGAGCAAGGCCCCCGCGAAGTCCGCCCCGACCCCTTGGTCCACGGCGGGCAACCAGTCGACCTTGAACACGTCGAACGTGATGCCAGGGATACTCAGCGCAGGCGAGACGCGGCCTCCGTTGCGCAGGGCGATGGCGATCACGTCCTGCAGCGAGCGCCTGCCCGTTGGCCTCGCCCACCGAGAACTCGTCGACGTCTGCGTCGTCACCCGGGGGGCGCGCAAAGGAGAGCGGGGAAGAAGCGGGGAACACCGAAACAAAGGAATGCGTAACCAAGAAATCCTCGCCCTGCACCTCCTCCTCCTCCTCCCTCTCCCCCTCCTCCTCTTCTTCCTGCTCCTCCTCCTCCTCCTCCCCCCTCCGCGTTTGCGCGGGGCCAGTCGCCCCCCCCGGGGGTTTGTTGCATTTCCAGCAGCACCCAGGGCCCTCGTTCCAGGCGGGGGCATAACACACTTCTTTCCACGCTTTCCAATCCGCGCGAAACTGCACCAGGGCACCGCGGGCCGGCAAGGGGGAGCCCGAGGGCCCTGCGGTCGGCCCACGCTTGTTGAGCTTTATCCGAGGGGCGCGAGAACGGCGTCTTGCCGCGCCGCTCTCGCGGGCAGAAGCCTCTCCACAAAGACAGAAAACTCCATTGTATGATGCCGAAGATGTCGTGCCAGGTGTTCGTGGACAAGTGGCTCTTCAAAATGCTGAACAATGGGATTCTCAAGTTGCCGCAGGGTCCGTCGGGGCCATGGCCAGGCAAGCTCGTGCCGAGGACTTCGACCGACGCAGATCTGCCCCACTTGGTGGGGGCCCCGTCCTGCCACAGGCCGATGGCCACCGCGGGGCTGCCCAGCTTCGCTTTCGCGCCCTGCATGTGCGCGCGGTCGCCCTCGTCCAGCCCCTGCAGCTGAAGCAGCGCGTCCAGGTCGCCGTGCCTCCCCAGCGCCAGGAGGGCCTCGTGCGGTAGCAAGAGGGGCACTTCCTTCGTCTCTCCTCGATGACGCTCGGCGTTCCACGCGCCGACCTTTGCCGCGTGCTCCTTCGGCCACAGCGTTCCCCTGAGAAGCTTCCCCCTTAAGGTCCTGGGCGCGTTGGCACGCCCCGCTCTCAGGCCCCCAACGCCCGCGGCCCCGCCTTCCTCGGCGTCGGCGGTGAGCCTTTGCACGTCGCCCGAGGACAGAGCATTCCGCACCCTGTGCGTCTGCAAGGTGGCGCGCAAGCGCTTTGCAGGCGGCGGCGCGCTGGTGTCCACCGCCGGCCGGCGCTTCGAGAACATGGCGGCGCGCCCGCCCCGCGGCCCGCCAGGCGCCTCGCGTCTGAAACTGCTTCGGGCGAAGGCGGCACCCGATGCAGGAGGGGGCGGGGGGGGGGTCCAACTTCAAACTTCGAGATTCAAAGTTCGAAATTCGAATTCCGAATTTCGAACTTCGAACGCGCGCTTCGCAGGAGACAGCGCCCCCGCCCCCCCACCCCCCCCCCCCCGCGCAACACACCGCGCACGCACACACTCGCAACCGCAACACACTGACACACACCGCGCACGCCACGCACACACACGCGCACCCCACCCTACCCACCCACCACCCACCCACCCAGCTCCGACCCACCCACGTCACGCAACTCACGACAACTCACGAGAGTCACGCACTCACACTCACACCACACACAACACACACACACATCCCTACACACACACACACACACACACACGCACACACACACACACACACACACACACACACACACACCACACACACACACACACACACACACTCCACAACTCACACGCAATCCGCGCACACGCCACGCACACGCGCACGCGCACGCGCACTGCGCACGCGCGCACGCGCGCAACGCGCCACGCGCGCAAACTTCGCTGCCCAGCGCGCACGCTCGCACGCGCGCTAGCGCGCGCACGCCCGCACGCACGGGCAAGCACGCACGCACGCAACGCACAGCACGCACGCACAGCAACGCACTCACGCACCGCAAGCACGCACGCACGCAGGCCACGCAACGCACGCACGGCCCTGCACTGCAACAGCCGCACGCACAGCACGCACGCACGGCACGCACGCACGCACAGCACGCACGCACGCACGCAACTCAAACGCGCACACACACACACACACTACCACTTCACACCAAGAAAACCACACACACACACACACCACACACACACGCACACACACACACACGCACACACACACACACTCACTCACTCACACACACACATAGACACACACGCACCACTCGCCAGCAGGAGAACTCGCCTCCACGCGTTCCCATGAGCTGCGACATCTCACGCCAGACACAGCGATGTCGCGCGAAGCGGCGGTGCACGAGGCGCCCTGCATCCTTGCTTCGCCACGATTCTTCTTTGTCGGCCCGCCGCAGTCGCAGGCAGTTGCTCTCGTGCGCTGGCGGGGGCGCCCCCCGCGGCTGCTCGCTCGTTTCTTCCCCTGCCTCCTCCCACTCCCGGACTCCCTCGGCCCTCCCCCCGTTCCCCCCTCCCTCGCTCCCTCCTCCCTCACTCCCCCCCTCCCCCCCCTCCATTCCCCTCCCCCGCGGGCCGATCACTTCGCGCCCCTCCAACGCTTCACGCTGATCTTGCCGCCCTCCAAGTGCTAGTTTGCGAACGCGACCTGGTCTGCCAACGCGTGCCTCGTCTTCCTGATCATCTCGTCGTCGGGCTCGCCCTCGGGGACGCATGCCGCCTCGGCCAGCAGGTGCTCTGCAGCGTCCAGGAAGTCGCTCAGCGCTTTGTGCGCGGGCCTGATCTCGTCGCCGTTGGTGCGCCACTTGGCATCATCGTCTCTCTTCGCCTGGGCATCGGAACTCAGCATCAACTCCTTCATGTCCTTCTGCTGCCTCTGCAGGGCGGTCGCCTTCTGCCTGCGGCGGCGCGGGGGGATAGGAGGGAAAGAGGGGAAATGTGAGAGGGGAGGGGGGGGGAGGAGGCCGGGGCAATGTCTGGAAGTTGCAGGAAGAGTTGGAGTTCCCATCCTGAGCTTTTCTTTTCGGCCATGTCGCGGTATTCTTGGTTTTCGATCTTCACGTCGCCGCTTCCCTGCCCCGCAGACGCGGATCCCCGAGCCATGTCCTCCAGCGCGCCCTTGTTTGTCTTCCCATAGTCTTTGTCTGATGCCCACTGCTCTCCCGCCCTCTCCTCGGCTGCGCTCTGCTCACCATCGTCGAAGACGTAAATGTATAATGAGTCGCTGATTTCTTCCTTGTCCATCTGGGGCGGGTGGGATTCTGCCGCCCTGTGCTTCTCAATGTTCTTGCGCCACTCGTTGCGGGCCCAATCGCACCCCGCCGACGCGGTCGGAAAGTTCCCCTGGTTGACCCCGAACTCCTGCATCGGCTGCGTGACTGTGACCCATTTCTGTCTGCTGTTTTTCGACTCCTTTTTCGAGGGCCCATGCACGGCTGTGAAGGAATGCGTCAAGCCCTTCAGCTTCTTGGCGTCTTCCTCGCCCTTCTCGGTCATAGACGCGTCGTAGATCTCCTTCCGCTTCTGGTCGCCGAATTGCTTGACAGTTGCAAGGGCAATGCCGCGCGCCTTCCCGCATTCGTTCTGCGCGTTGCCATCCTTCGCGCTGTGCCGGAGGTGGTTCATGAGGCACGTGGTTTGCGCGTTCGCCAGGGAATCTGGCGCCGGGGGGGGCGGGTTCTCCTTGGCCTTCGGGGGCGGCCCCTCCGCGCCCCCAGTTGCGCCGTCTCCTCCAGGCCCCTTCGCTGGAGGCGGGCCCTTCGGCTTCCCAGCCGCGCCGTGTCCTGCAGGTGCCTTCGCTGGAGGCGGGCTCTTCACGAAGGCGGGCCCTTCGGTTTTCCCTTTGCTTCCCCCTTTGCCTTTGGCGCCGCGCGCGCCAGGTAGGCACTCAAGGCAAGGGGGTTCACGAGCGAAAGCAACAACAGCATCTCGCGAATCCTCTGTGGAAGCGAAAGAAACACACGGGTTCGCGGGCATTAGAAAGCCGAGCTTCGGAAACGGCTGCGGCGTGCACGGGCGCTGCGGCGGCGCCGGCATAAACAAGGAGGCGCGGCCTGCCGCGAAGAAGAGGCGGGGCCTCCAGCGCCTGCCCTCCGCGGCCGTACGATGCAGGAGGCGTCGCCTCCTTCTCCTCCCCCATCCTCCAACCCCCCCCCCCCCCCCCCCCCCCCTTCCCTGCCTTGCCCCTGCCCCCCGCCCGAACGCCGAGGGCTCCCTCAGCTGAGTTTGCGACCTTTGTTGCAATCCGCGGCGCCTTTTCGAGCCACGGGGTCGAAGGTGAGCAAGTGCTGGGAGGGGTTCTCGCGCGGTCGGGCGTCGCAAAACGCCGCGGCCGCGCCGTTCCAGGAGCGCGGCAAGAAGCAGGGGACCCCGCAGCCACAGGTAGACCGGGCGCACCAGGGCACCAGCGCGGGGGAGAGGAGGAGAACGAGGAAGGGGAGGGGAAGGGAAACCGTTTGAATTGCGCGCGCCCTCGCAGAGGAAACGGAGCAGGACGGGGTGGACCACCGCGCCCGATGGCCCGACGCAGGCGCTGGAGCTTGCGTGGAAGAAGGGGGGGGGCGGTTGGCGTACTACACGGCCCGATTTCCCCTTCCTCGATTTTGCTTTCCTACGCCCTAATCTCCACTTCCCCCCTTTCTCCCAGGTCGGCCGCCGCGCGTGCGAAGCGGACTCGTGGACGTTCCAGCAGTGGAACTCGAACCCGAGCCTGCAGATGTGGTACTTTCCCATCAGGCGCTCTTCCCCCCTCCGTTCCCCCCCTCCCCCCCCCCCCCCCCCCCCCCCC